TGCCTCAAATGGCAATAGCCAGTTTCCTTGATGACCTGCAGAGTAAACTGAGGCACTCATGGCTATTCCCCCTATGTTATCAGGGAGCAGGGTAGAACCAATTCCAGTGTCTGGGTGCCTGGTTGGTGTGCATCATTTCCCTGAGGGAAGAAGCCAGAGACCCCCATTCAGAGGCGACAGTGGTGCTCTGGAGGGGTGCAGTGACTTCAAAACAGTGTGTCAGTGGTCAGCCCCCCGTGGCGTGTGGCTGCACCCCAGGAGGCCGGGGAAGCAGGGAGACAAGTGTTACCTGAGTGCCCTGCGTGAACAGGGGCCAGATGGAAAAATTAGCAGTGCAGATAATCAATGTGGTGCATATTAAGCGGCTCAGGGTTAGGGGGGGGTTTGCAAGGTGGGGGGGAGCTGAGCTGGGTCCGGGATCGATACAACTCATATTAAGTGGATTAAATCCTGGCTTCCGATCCGAGCCCTGGCTGCCAGCAGGAGGTGGCAGCTGAGCAAGGGCTGCGCGGGGTCCCGCTGAGAGCTGAGATTGCTTCCCTTGGCAGCAATGCCCTGGCGTGAGTGTGCAGGGGCCCACTGAGGCAGGGCAGCCTGGAAATGCCTGTGGGGTGCCTTAGGACCTTACCACATCCTTCCACCGTCCAGGGAATCAGCTAGGCTAAGTGGTCTCAGGAACCCCAGCTCCATCCCTGCAGGCCCCCCTGGCTCCAGGAGAGGCATCTCCTGGGTGAATGAGTGAAGCTAACAATGTTATTTGATTGTGGTGAGGAGGAGGAGGCACAAGGTTTATTCACGTGCCTTTAATAAACCATGTTCGACCCGCTGACCTTTAACCTGCCTGACAAGCGCTGTTATCCCCACCCCTTAAGGAATATAGATGTCGCTATGGCAGTGGGATGACAGGAGGGAGCAGGGTCCCAGGGCTGCACCCCGGGTGGGGTGGGGGATGAGGACATTCTGCCCTAGTCCTGCACCAGCACTCAGGCAGCGGTGCCAGGTGGAGTTGGGGTGGTGCTGGGGTTCCGTGGCTGATGGGGTGGCCAAGCACCGTGGACCCCAGAGTCCCCGAGGTCGGCAGGGCAGAGCTGCACTGCGCACTGGTGGGGTATCGATCCCGGGACTTGACAGTTTAATACTTCTGTTTATAGAGGAATATAGTTACATCGATGGCGTTAAATGAGTTACTAATTATATCAATACAAACACGATTAAAAGGGTCCTTGCTCATAGGTCACCACAAGCAGGAGCCGCTGCTTGTGTTGCACAACTGCCCCCAGGCAAGGCCCACTTCACTGCTCCGAGGCACATGGCTGGGGCAGCATGTGCCCCTGCAGGGTGGGGTGTGTCCACCCACATAGAGTGCCTGGCTGGGGTTGTGCATGTATGTGTGGGATTGTGTGGATACAGCTGTGGTGTGTGTGCTCCACTGGTGGTGTGTGTTCCAGTCTCGGTCTGAGCGTGCCCATCTGGGGTAGTGTGTTCCAGTCAGGGGCTGTGGATGCACATATTGAAGTTCTGTGTGCACGTAACAGCAATGTGCATGTTCCATCTAGGGTTGGGTGTGCATGTTTGGGGCTGTGCGTGGCTGTCTGGGGCTACATCTGCCTGTCTGGGGCTGTGTGTGCCCCTCTGGGGTTGTGCAGGCCTGTCTAAAATTGTGCATGTACATATGGGGTGTGTGCCCATGCACGTGTGGGGTTGTGGATGCTCGTGCAGAGTGGTGTGTACCCATAAAAAGTCTGTGCGTGCCCACCTTGGGGTCATGCCAGCCCACCTGGGGCGGTACATGCCCGTGGGAGGCTGTGCCCATCCAGACATGGTTCCTGTGTAGGGATTTGTGCCTATGTGGGCTGGGCATGCGTGTGCAGGCTTGTGCACTCTCATGTGTTGTTCTTCTGTGCACGCTGATGCAAGGTTGTGCGTGCCTGTGCGGGGTTGTACGTGCCCATTCGAGCTTGCATGTGGCCCTGAGGAGGATGTGTGTCTGTGTACAGGGCTGTGCACGTGCTTGTGTGGAGTTGTGCAATGACCATAAGGGGTTGTGCACACTCATGGGGGCTGTGTGTACCCACACTTGTGGGGTTGTGCAAGCCCATACATGGTTGTGCATGCCTGTGTAGGGTTGTATATGCTTGCGTGGGCTTGTACACACCCATGTGGGGTTGTCAGCCCTCGTGGGGTTATGTAGAGCCAGGTGAGGTGTGTATGACTCAGGAGAGTTCTGATCTGCCTCTTAGATGGTCAGTCCCCAAGTGAGGTGGGAGGGGACCACAGTCCCCACCCTGCAGGAGGAGGAGCAGGGTGAGCAACAGGACCCAGAGCCCTGGGTTATGGATGGAGTTGGATTTCTCTGGGGATAGGGCTGAACGATAGGTCCCTTCTTGCCTGGAGTCTGTAGCAGACCACCACCTATGCCACCACCCATGCTACCGCTGTGTCACTCCTGTGAAGCTGTGATGGCAGGATGCCTTTACCATCCTTGTCTGGGACTCAGCTCCCACCCCCCATGAGTGGGAATCCCCCAAAACCACCTCCTCTCCAGCCTGAGCATCCCCAAAATTGAGGGAACACCTGGTGCATCCCAGTGTACCCAAGGACCTCACCGTCTGGTTCCCTGTTACTCAGCTCTGCTCTTGTCTCCACTTAAAAGCTGACCTTTGTCCCCCGTTGGATGTAACATGTTTTTGCATCTCAGTGCCCCACAGATAAAAGGTTAGGGGTTAATAAACAGTGGAAAAATAGAACCTGGCACTTGGTGGTCACACCTGTTTTGGGGGCTGGAGTCAGTAGCAGCCCGTTCTGGGTGGGATCCTGCCTGGCTTGTTAGGAAGGAGAAACACAAGTGGCACCCTGGGTCACAGCAGGGGTGTGGGTGCAGAAACTCAACCACTGGTGATCCCCGGGAAGGCCGTGGCTTCCCCTTGCTGTGGGATGAGTGGTGGTTGCCAGTTTTGGGGCATTTGTTCCTGCTTTGACAAGCCAGGAGATTTCAGGGGATGTAAACGGGCTTGATGGGGAGTGGTGGGGGTCGGAGCCCTTCCACAGGCAAGGAAATGCAGGCAAAGCCTGGCCGACACAGCCTTCCTGGGGCAGAAATCAAAGCAGCCTCCTGGAGCTCTGCTCTGAGCCTGACCTAGTTACTGTAATCGATGGCTCGAGGAGCTCCTGGGAAAGAACAGGCAATGAGGAGGGGGCACCGGGCAAGGCAGGGAACACCACGATGGAGGAGAGGGACAGGGTGCTGGCACCCAGGGGTCAGGGCACTCCCAGAGCAAACAGCTGCAAGGAGGGGATGGGTGAGTGGGATCTAGAGAGCAAGGAAGCAGCACAGGTGGAACACCACGGAGCCAGGCAGTTCAGCACCAGTGTGCATGGTGTGAGTCTGGCAGTAGCACCCACAGACCAGTTCAGGTACAAGCAGTTAGCACCCTGACAAAGGACAGGCAGCTGGCACCGTGCGTTAGATGAGGGACCGTGTTAGATGTGTCTCTTCAGTGACAGGAACCATGGGGTGTCTGTAGGAGCATCCCTGCATCCTCACATCCTCATATGGCCCCATGTCCCTTCCACCCCTGCATCCCTACATCTCCATGTCCCCCAAGTCCCTTCATCCCTATATCCTTATATTCCCATGTCCCTGCATTCATGTGTCCTCATTGAATCCCTACATCGCCCTGCCCCCGAGTCCCTGCAACTCCACATCCCTACGTTCCCATACCCCTGCACCCGTACATCCCCATATCACTGCATTCACGTCCCCATCGCGTCCCTGCATCCCCCCCATCCCCACGTCCCATGTCTCTGCAGCCTGATGTCCCTAAAGCACAGCTCCTTTTATCTGTCTGGTGAATGATGTGCTGGGAGGGGGGGGAGGGTGTGCTCCCTTTCTATTGGTTTTTAACGGCCTTTCCCAGCACAATTGTTTTTTAAACGACTCTATTTTGTGCCTGACTTTGTTTTCCAGCTTGCATTTCTTTGTATATGTTTTGGAAATCCATTCTGGACTGCTGAGTTTTGTTTCTTTTCAATGGCTTTAAATTCTTGCCGGGCTTGCTGGGAGGAATTGGTGTCTATAGCGTCTTCGATTGGTGCTAATTTTTCCTTCATGTGCTCTGACTTTTACTGCTGGGCCATCGATCTGGCGGGCTCCAATTTGTCATGGTCACTCAGGCGCTGTGCTGGAATCAGGCGAGCCCCGACTTTCGCACGGAGCCGGCACTTCACGTCCCTGGCGTAGGGGCTGCACTCGCCTCCCCGGTGCTGTCCCTCAGCTCAGCTCAGCTCAGCTCGGGGGTTGTGTCCGTGTGTCTGGACCTGCATCCACCCAGCACACTTAAGTATCCTCACAGTGTGCATCTGTACAACTGTGTGCTCACTCACCGGCTTGCAAACGCATCAGTGCACCCACAAACTTACTGGGGCAGCCCCAGTGCTGGCAGCTCCCTCACAGTAACCAGTGCCATGGCCAGGCCAATTTTCCCTGCCCTGGCATGGGACCAGCCTCTCCACTGTGCAGGTGGACATGTGTCCCTGTGAGGGATGAAATCTGAGGATGATGCTGATCCTGTGCTGGGACTCGGTGAACACCAGCACTGAGCAGTGCTGAGCCAGAGAAGAGCTGAGCAGGGCTGCGCATCCTGATCCCAGGGTCTGGCCTGGGGTTTGCTGATGCCCCTGGGCTGAAACACTGATTCCTCCACCTAAGAAGGTAAGGAACAGGGGGAAACTGAAGCACTGACTCAGCATCTCTGCAGCAAAGGTACAAAATAGTGGTTTTTAGGAAGCCCACACCAGACCCCAGGCACAGGGAGAGTCCAGTGCTGCAGCACAGAGGGTGTGTTAGGGGGTTCTGTCCGTGGTGCACACAGAGCCTTTTGTTGCTGACAGAGCAGGAACGTGGGGCCAGGGATGATGCCAGGTCCTGGCACAGCCAGGACCCTCTGCCTTTCTCACCTCCAAGTGCCAGCAGCACTGACCCCTCTCTCTCCTGCCCCCAGCTCTACGAACTGGATGAGGACCCAAAACGCAAGGAGTTCCTGGATGACCTCTTTGGCTTCATGCAGAAGAGAGGTAAAGGTGGGTGGCTGGGGTGGGTGTCAGTGTCTCACCCCGGCCTCAGCTGCTGGCAGGGGCTCATGGTGTGATCCTCTCGGGTCTGAGCTGCTCCAGATCACTGCGAAATCCCCAGGCAGGTCCTGCGGTGCCTTCCCTGGCCCCCCCCGCAGCCCCAGGCTGGGGCAGCTGTCCATGCCGATTGCCCGTCAGCGATCCCAGCACAGATGCCCACTGGGAACGCCCGGTGGGGATGGCCATTAGCATACCCCTCGGAGACAAGCGATAGCAACACCCGTTAATGATACCCATTAGCAGTTTTCAGGGCGTTTTAGTGATGCCTGGTCCGAATGCCCTTGGCAGTGCCCATTAGGGCTCCTCAGCAGCAGCACCTGGTGAGGATGCCCACCACCAGCATATCTCAGCGACGCCCATGGTGTGCAGGACTGGGGCCCGCGCCGGGCACCCAGGGGTTAAGGGCTCACCAGCCAACCCATCCTCATCGGAAATCTTTGCTATCGGCATGGGGGGCCGTGCCGGCTCCCGGGGACTCGATAAATGCTTTAACCTTCGCCCTCCCCGGCCGGGCCTCCGACAATTAAAAGTTGCCGAGCGCGGGCGTGTGGGCGGCCGTATTAATTAGAGCCTTTTGCTGGTGTGTGGATTAATGAACAAGCCGCTCGATAGCCAGTAAACCCCAGGCAGAGGTTAATGCCGAGCTAATTAACAGGGGAAGGCTAAAGGGGGGGGGGGCGGGAGCAGCGGAGCTGGCCTGTGTGTGGGGTGAGGGAGGGCAGAAAGGGGCAGTTGCCCTCGTGCCCTGCCCGTAGGAAGGGTGGTGAGGGTACTCTCCTGTCTGTGGGGCTGCAGGGGTTGACTTTTGGGTCAGACTGAGACACCACAACCTTGTTTCACTCAGTGCTGTGCTGTGGGGTGCCGGCACAGCCACGGGGCTCATGCTGGAGCTAGGCTGGAGCTGGTGGAAGGGCTGGGTACTGCCCTTATGGGTGCCCCCTGATCCCCCTGGCCCTGGTGCAGGGCTATGGGGAGCGAATGGGAGCATCAGTGCTGTTTCGGCCCCCCAGCATCCATCAGCTGCAAGATTCATGGGCTGTTCTGCGGCTTCATTATCTCTCTTTCCAGAGCTAATTAACTCCCTCGCTATTGGGGCCGGGGCTAATTAAGTAAGTGCCTGCTGGTCTGGGGAGGAGGGAGGGAGCTGCTCGCTTCCCTGATGGTGCTCTATTCTACTCGTTCTGTGTGGGGCTGTCCGGCTCCTGTGCCCGCTGTCCCCTTCGTCCTTTATTTCCTCCAAGTGGGTGCCGTCCCCCTGGGGAGGGCAGGCAGGGATGCAGGTGTGTAGTTATGGGTGTGCACAAGCCTGTTGGAGGAGTTGGTGATTTTGGAGTCAGGTAGCAAAGAAAAAGAGGACCAGGGGGGCTGTGGGGCAGTGACGGGACTCTCAGGGTCATCAGGAACTGGGTAAGAAGCACCCATGGATGAGCCATGGCAGCTGCTTCTGTGGCACTCAGGGGTTCACAGGCAGGCCTGTGACACCCAGGCTGTGTCCCCAGGGTGGCAGTGGGCCAGAAGGGATTAATGCCCACAGGGTGAACCCTAATGAAAGAGGATGTGTCCCCCCTATGTCTGTCAGGGCAGTTTCAGCACTGACGTTTGGCAGCAGGGTGGAAAATTAGCAGGGCTGAAAAATGGGTTGGGCACAGCCCCTCTGAAGCCACCCCATGGCACAAGGGCCTACCTGGCCACAGTGGTTAATGGGGGTGATACCACCACCCCCATCAGATACAGGCTACAGGCAGTGGGGCACCTTATCCCCATGCCCCAACTTCTGCAGGACCCCAAAAGCAGCAAGCTGGGTCATAGGGGGGCTGTTTCTGTATTTGCTCACCAGGGATCTACAGCCCCCCCCCCATCTCCCTGCCAAGCTGAGGGCCCTGCTGATAACACGGGACCGTTAATCAATCAAGGCGCTAATTGCAGCACCACAATGGCTGCATCACCTCCCTGGGCTTTTGTGGCCCTCGCCCTGGCTGGGGCCGGGACCATCACTCTGCGGGGACGCAGACAAGTGCCTTTGTCAGTAGGACAGGCATCGGCTGCCCGCCCGCACAGCCGTGAGATTAATGGCGAGCCACTCTCACTGGCCACCAGGGCTGGAGAGGGGGAAAGAGACAAAAACAGTCCATGGGCCATTGAGTGGGGGATGAGACCCTGCAAACTCGCATTTGGGAGGGAGGGAGAGCCCTTGAATTGCACCTCCCCCCCCCCGAGGTGATGGGGCTCATGCCAGCAGCCCCCACCAGGGCTGGTGAGGTACTGACAGCAGATATCAAGTCAATATCTCTGCCTTTTTCCCAGGAGGATAAACTCTCCCCCTTCCCGACCCGGTGAACAACACAGTCACACACACAAAAAAAAAAAAAAAAAAAGTTAAATGAACTCAGTAAAAGAATAAAAAGAGCTCATTTTTCAGGCTTATGTGAAGAAGCCGAGCCAATATCAGGGCCATAAATTAGGGATGCTGGAGGATGGCGGTGAATGACGGCTTCGTTTGAGGGGCGAAGCACGGTCGTGACAGCCTCCCCCGGCCAAATGGATGGCTTTCCAATACTGCCTGTGCCCCGCCGCCTCGCAGAAGGAATAAATATGGGGTGGAATGGGACAGGATGGGATGGGGTGGGATGGGATGTGATGCTTGTCCCTCCTCTGCCCTGCTGCAGCTTTCAGCCACTGCCCAGACCATTGCCCCGAGGTGCCAAGGGTGTGGGGCTATTTGGGGGTGCTGAGAAAGTGGGGAGGGGGTTGTAACCAGACCTGGTGGCTGTGGAGACCATGCTGGTCTATATTGGGCTCACAGAACCCTGGTGACCCCATGGCCTCGGTGAGGGGGGTGATCCTGGGCGACCAGGGGCCAGAGTCTCTACTAAGGGTACTTCAAGGGGTTTGGGGTCAGGTCTCTTGAGGCAGGGCACCGAAGACCTTTAAGCAGTGGGAGGTGCTGGAGGCATCTTTGAGTTTGAGAGGTTTTTCAGGGACTCTTGTGAGTGTCTCTGTGTGGGGCTGGGAGGGAAAACCTGTCCACAGATTGTAGGGTGAGTCTTTCCAGAAGGGTTGTGAGGGGCATCCCTCTTCAGAGAGATTGTAAGGTGGGTCCCTTCTTAAAGTTTAGATGGAGTCTCTCTTTGTGGGGCTCTGAAAGGGTGTTACACAGTGAATCCTTCTAGGATGCTCTGAGAGATTTTGTGGATTAATGCTCTGTAGAGAGCTCTAAAAATTGCAGAGGCACAACCTTTTCTAAGGGAGTCTGAAGAGGACACTGCCCATCCCACTGTGGCTCCACATGCCAGCTGAGAGCATACCTGGCCCCACTGACAGCTCCATCAAAGGTGACCCTGTGCCAGCATCCCGGGGTCTCCCCTGCTCCTGAGCAGAGTGCCACTCTCCCAGGCACCCTGGGGTCCTGTCTGCACCCCAGTGTACCCGTGGGCATGGAGAGATGTGTCTCTCATTGTGGGTACCTGCAGTGACAATGGGGAGAAGGTGGAGGCTGTGTCCCCAGGTAATAAGGGCCCCTGTGGGCTCCCCCCACACCCTTTTCTGTCTCCTTTGTGCGTCTGGAAGGGACACCAGTGAACCGCATCCCCATCATGGCCAAGCAAGTGCTGGACCTGTACACCCTGTACCGGCTGGTGACAGACAAGGGTGGCCTGGTCGAAGTCATCAACAAGAAGATCTGGCGGGAGATCACCAAGGGCCTCAACCTACCTACCTCCATCACCAGCGCTGCCTTCACCCTCCGCACACAGTGAGTGCCCGGCAGCGAGGGCAGGTGGGAGCACCTGCCCTGGGGCACCCACCCTGCCCTGGGGCACCCACCCTGCCCTGGGGCACCCACTGGCTTAGCTCTCCCAGAGCCCTGAGTGGGGTCTGACATGGACAGCCTCAAAAGTGGTTGGAGGGCTCTGCCCCTTCGCAAGTGCAATCCCTGCCCTGAGCCCAGCTCAGCATGGGGCTTGCTGGGAGGTGCGTGATGCTGGATCTCATCCTGGCTCTCTCCCTGTGCAGATACATGAAGTACCTGTATCCCTACGAATGTGAGAAGCGGGCACTCAGCTCTCCCGGGGAGCTCCAAGCTGCCATTGACAGCAACCGCCGGGAGGGACGGAGGCAGACCTTCGGCACAGCACTCTTCAACTACTCGCCAGCCAGCACCCAAGCCCTGCTGGGCGCGCCCAAAATGCCTCTGCCAGCTCTCAGCATCTCCACACACACCTGTGGCCAGCTCAGCCAAGTGCACGGTGTTAAGAAAGGTGGGTGAGGATCACATCTGCCCTGCGGCAGCCGTCTCTTCCCGGGGATGGATACTACTCCAGGAGCAGGATGTTCCCTGTCTGCTCTTGCTCTTTTTGCTTGGGGAAAATACGAGAAATTTTGTTCCTTTAGTCCCTTTCTGGAACTGAGAAAAGTTTATTTCTGCTGGCTTTGGAGGATGACCAAACCCAGATGATGCAGGGGATGGTGGCCCACCCTGCCCTGTGCTGGTGGGATGAAGTAGCACCAGCCGGGGATGGTGGGGTGGAGTGGGGATGAGGGGCCCCGCTGAGGTCTCTTGGTTGTTGCAGAGGACGGCATGCTGACGGCAGCAGTGCCGGGGCGCATCGCTATCCCCGTGGGACTGGCTGGTCACCACCTCACAGCAGCTCAAGCAGCAGCTGCCTCGCAGGCAGTGGTGCTGGAGCAGCTGCGGGAGAAGCTGGAGACAGGGGAGCCCCCGGAGAAGAAGGTGGCCCTGACAGCAGAGGAGCAGCAGCGGCTGGTGCAACACGCACTGCAGCACAACCTCCTGGCTGTGGCCTCCCAGTTCCCTATGAACGTCAAGATCTCCAACCGAGGTAACGAGGTGCAGCACCTCAGCTTGGGCTCACCCTGTCCCCAGGTGGGAGCGGCAGCGGCTGGAGAGGAGCATGGATGCCCAAAGGATCCTTGCTTCTCTCTCTAAGGCAGGTTCTTGTTTCTGTTTCTCTTAACACTCATATTGGTATTTCCTTTCCCCAGATGACAGACAGGAGACCGCATTGAACCTGTCCACCAACGGCATTAGCAGTATCAACATGTCAATAGAAATAAATGGAGTTGTCTACACAGGTAAATAGAAGGGCCGCTTGGCCTGTGTAATTGCGGCCGGGAAATCCAATAACTTATAGCCACTGCCTGGCCAGCAAGTCCTTCCTTCAATCTGATGTCTTTACTATAAAATCCATCGTAATGAAGTGGCAGGGCCTGGGGAGAGGGGGCAGGAGAAGGAGGGGGTCAGCAAGGGTGGAAATTGGCCCACAGCAGGTGCTAGCAATGAAGGGCCAATGTGGGGGATGGACAGACTCAGGCTGAGAAGTGAGCCTGCCCTTAGGGTCATCTCCCATCCCAGAATCCTGCAGGCAGGGCTTGGATTTGAGCTCACCCCGATGCTAGTGTGCCCAGAGGATCTCTGGCTGGGTGGTGGGTTTGGCTGGTTACAGAGCATGGTGTTGGGTGCAGGGGAAGGTGTTGGGGTGCTTTGCTGGAGCAGAGGATCCTTTGGGGTGCCACTGTGCACCTACGTGGCCAAGCAGTTCATCCCATGTCCCTCAACTCCATACCTGCCCTGCTGAGACACCCCTCAATTAAAATCGATGGCTTTTCCTTCAGGACTTAAATATTTAACGAGCCAGAAAGGTCAGGGCTAATCAGCATGTGGGGCTGCCAGCCAAATGGGCCCAGGCCACCCCACAGGCAGCCTCATGCGTGTGGAGACAGCAGAAGGTGATGAGGGGGAGATGGAGCCCCCATGGGTATTCGTCCCACACTCCCCAGCCTGGGTGCTGGGGGGAAGGTGAGCAGATCCCCCAACCCTGGGCTTGCCCTCACCCCCTTGCTCTTGCTCCCCAGGTGTCCTGTTCGCCCGCCGGCCCTCAGCTGCCCCGGCACCTGGTGGAGGGAGCACCCAGACCCGTCCGAACCCCATGCCTGCCCCAAACCCCCTGCTCCCACCCTCCTCTCACAGCCACACTCCCACCAGCGCCTCACCGTAAGGCAGAGGCCTGAGAGCACCCTGAAAGCAGCTGGGGGTGCCCAGGGTGTGGGGGGCTGAGCTGTGGGACCCCACTGGGCCGCCACGGTGGGATGGGGGACCCCAAGGTGCCTCTTGCTCCAGTACTGAGCTGTGTCCATGCAAGGCCCTGAACACCCAGGTGGGCCCTTTTGTCCCTTGTCCCCGTGCGTGCTCTCTGACACGCACACACCTCTTCTTTCCCAAGGCACTGCCCCCAGGTGACCCCCTGTACATCTCCTGCTGCCCTGCTGCCTGGGGCACCCCCTGGGACCTGCATGCTGCATCCCCTACATCCTGCAGCCCCTGTACCCACCTCAATGCACGCACTGCTGCCCCTGTACACACCTCGATGCATACACTGCACCCCCAGTGCACACACTGCATCCCCTTGGTGCCCACGTGAGGTCTCCATGCACACCCTCCATGCAAATGCTGCAGGCACAGTACTCTGCAGCCCCTGTAAACTGTAGCCCCATATACACTGCAGCCCCTATATATATACTGCACCCCCTACCCACTGCAGATGCCCCTACCCAGTCCTCCTGCGCTGCCTGGGCTTGCTGCCCCTGCCCTGAGACACCCCCAGGGTGGTGGCATCTCAGCCCCCCAGGTCCTCAGCTCAGGGGGTGTCACCCTGGTGGGGGCAAATAATGGGGATATTGGTGGGAATGGTGGGGGTGGAGCTTATTGAGGTGGGGCTGGGGTTGGGGGTTAATATTGGGGGTGAGGGTTGAGGGCATGGAGGCCCAGCAGAGCCCCCCCACCACCAAAGACTGCCCAGATGCCAGAGTCCCCCAGCCGGAGGGTGGGGAGACAGCGGGCACTCCAAACTACCTCGTTGGGGCTGGGCGGGCTCCTCCTCCGCCTGCCTGCACCCCAGGGTGCCAGAGCAGATGAGTGCGGAGCAAGGCTCACCTCTACCTCAGCGTGGGGGGCTCGGCATCGCCAGTCCTGCCCCCACGCTCCCATCGCAGCTGTGCGACTCCATGTATCCATTAAAGGAAACAAATTGCTGAACCAAACCAGTGTCGAGGGGTGGTGTGCATGACAGGGTACCAAGCTCCTCCAGGGCCCTGTTTGGGGGTGCAGGACAGCCCTGCAGCCTGTGGTACCCCGGGGTATCAGCTCTAATGCCTGAGGTTTCACAGCCCGCCTCATGTTTGCCTCCAGTGCAAGGATTGCCTCAGTTTCTGGGAGCTCTGAGTTGCAAACAGGTGCCCTACATCTACCAGAGCCCTCAAGCACAGGCTGCATCATACTGGGCACCAGTTCCAGTCATGGCAGCCAGGCCATGAGGCTCCCTTCCCCTCCAAGCTCCCTGTGGCAGCTCATCCTTGGGTGGGGATCCCATTAGGCCGCCTCTGCCAGGCAAGGAACAGGGCCCTGGGGCTGCTGGGACCACGGCCATGGGGCTGTGAGGTTGCACCTAGTGAGTTGCCAGCAGTGCTGGGCCAGCCTGGCACCTGGGCAGTGCCCACAGAGGACACAGGTGACCCAGGTGGGGCTGGGAGGCACAGACGTATGCGTGGGTGGTCACGGGTGCGTGTATGGGTGCACATGGAAAGGCACGGAGATGTTCAGGCACTCAGTCACCACACACCTGCCCAGATCACTTCTGCTCCCTTGTACAAAGGCGATGGCATTCACACTCACACGTGTGGGCAGATGCATGTGCTCCCACAAGCACTTGCACACACGTGCAGCCACCCGTACACATGAAGAGGCACGAGGAGCTCCCATGGGACAGACACCCCAGCCAGAGGCAGCCACAAGGACAGGTCCACCCTGGCATCCATTAAGCCAGGTCCCTGGTACCCAAGGGGACAGATACTCTTGATTGAAAGTCCCCCCTTGGGACAGACCCAGCCCCCTGAGAAAACCTCCAGCTCTTGGAGACACCCCCAACTACTACCACAGTTACTCAGGGACAGCCCCAGCCCAGCCGAAGGGGACATTCACAGTCCCTCAGAGACAGCCCCAGCCCCTCGGGGACGCCCCCAGTCCCCCGGGGACAGCCTCAACCCGGACCCCCGATCCCACCCGTGTAATGCGGTCGCTGTCCAGAGTGCTGCAGCAGCGCTGCCCGCCCCGGACCTGTCCTCGGGGGCAGGGGAACGTGGGGACGCGGCCGGGACATGGAGGATAAGGGTGTCACGCTAGGGACGCTATGGGAACACGCGGGTGACACAGTACCCCTGCAGAGGACCCTCGGTCTGCCGGGTCCGGCTCTAATATCTATGTCCCGGGTTGGGGGCAAGTCTGTGAACGTGTGTGGGGGGTGTACGTGTTTGTGAGCGTGCCAAGCGGAGCCAGAGTGGGATTGATGGAGCCTTAATTGGGGTCTTGTGTCCCTTGTCACTGCTGTGAAGTGCTGACCACAGCTCATCGAGCACCAGAGCCCCAGGGAGCCAGGAGGGCACACACGGGCCCACATCCCCACTCATTACCAGGCTCGAGGGGTGATGTGTGTTTCCATGCTCCCTGGGGGGCTTGGGGACACAGCTGCTGTCACCTGAGTAACCAGCCGTGATTGATGCCCACTTCCCCATGTCCTGCAGGGACTGTAATTGAGCAGGAGGGAGGAGACGGAGGATGAGGGGACAATCCAGCCTTGCAGGAGGCACGCTGGATCCAGCTTCAGTACCACTCTGGGGGCAGCTGCTGGGGGTGTTCGTGTGCCACTGCAGGCTCCAGGGATGGGGACAGGCTTCCTCTCAGCCCAAAGGGGCAGGGGGCAGACTCCCTGTGCTCTGTGCTGGGCTGTGGGCAGCCAGCGCTGCAGCTTCAGCTCCATTCCAAGGCTTGCAAACTGGATGGGACTCTAAAGGGTGCATGAGGACAGTCCCAAAGCCCCTCAGTGCTTGAGTCCTAGGACTGCCCAGGTTTCTTACCTCGGGGACGTAGGTGATCTGTGACCCTCCAATACAAGCATTTGTGTTTTTGAGGCATTGACCATCATGCTGGGCCCAAGCCATGATAGAGGTGGTACCATCTAAGCACAGAGCAGCATTGTGTGCACAGCCCCCAGGCCCCCTGCAGCCCCCGGGTACTTCTGCTAATGAAGCCATTTCTATTTGTCGCCTTTGTGGAACAAAGCTCAGCTCTTCCTCTCTGAAGATCTCAGCTATCGATCCTTGGGAAAAAAGGCAGAGCACATGAAGCCTCAGCTTCCTCCTGCTGCCAGAATGCTCTGCACAGCTCCTGCAGGGTTATTTGGGGGGCAGAGGGGATGCTGGGGCACTGGGCCACCCCACAGGTCCCTCCTGCAGCCTGGCAGGCCTGTACAACTCTCAGCAGGAAAACATCTAGAAGGACAAAGATTTTTCAGGGCACAGTGGGTTTAGCTTTCAGCAAAGGGGAGTGGGAGGGTCCCCAAAGCCACTCAACCCACATTACTAGCCATATTAACAAAGTACTCTCTATTGCCATATGGTTTGGAGCTAAAAGAGTGGCCTGGAACCTTGACTTGATGTCCCCTGGTGCCTAGGGCGTGGTGGTGCAACACCCAGCCCCATGTTCATTCTGGGCATGACAGGGCAGTGGCTGTGTGAGCCCTGGGGTGCAGGGGATGTTATCAAAAGGCGCTTTGGAAACTCACAGCATCATTAGGGTTGGAAGGGACTTCTGGAGATCATCCAGTCCAACCTCCCTGCCAAGGCAAAGTCACCTGGAGCAGGTGACACAGGAATGTGTGGGATTGGAATGTCTCCAGAAAGGGAGACTCCACAACCACCCTGGGCAGCCTGTTCTAGTGCTCTGTCACCCTCAACATGAAGAAGTTCTTCCTCATGTTGAAGTGGAATTTCTTGTGGTTTAGTTTACAGCCATTGCTCCTCATCCTGTCGCTGGGAACCACTGAAAAGGGTCTGGCACCATCCTCCTGGCACCTGCCTAAGATATTTATATGCATTGATGAGATCCCCTCTCAGTCTTCTCCAGACTAAACAGGCCCAGCTCCCACAGTCTCTGCTCATAAGAGAGATGCTCCAGACCCATCCCCATCTTTGTGGCCTCCACTGGACCCTCTCCAGTATCTCCTTATCCTTCTTGTTCTGAAGAGCCCAGAGTTGTACACAGTTGTACTCCAGATGTATCTTCACTAAGGCCGAGTAGAGGGGCAGCATCACCTCCCTTGACCTGCTGGCCACACTTCTCCATATGTACATGTATCCATGATACATTTCCCTCTGCAGTTTGGAAACTTCCTGGACTTTTCGTTGTAGTGGCTGCTGCTAGCATGAATTCATCTCATGCCTCTGAGAGATCCATGTGGCAGAGTGTGCCAGCTGAAGGCAGCAGTGGGGCTGGGGTTAGCTGTAGCACTCCTTAGTGCTTCTCTTCCTCCCGAGCATCACCTGCAGCAGTCGATAGGAGAAAGGTGAACGCGGGGAGGCTGGGGCCTGGGGGAAAGCCCGAGGCAGCCTCCCGGATTTCAAAGGCTCCTGCATCCACACGGATCGCTACATCAATTCTTTTTAATACATCCCAGTGCCTCTTTCCTGGAGGACGGCACCACAAATGAAGCCGCCATCGACCGACTGCCCGCCGGGGCGGCGGGAGGGCCGCACGCCTCCCCTCTGCAGTGCAAATCGCCATCGACCGCCCCGCATCCTCCGAGAGGGGCTCCGCGCCCCCGCCCGCATCCCGCGCCTCCCGTCTCCATGGCAACCGCGGTCCTTGGCAACGCGCCGCCATGGCAACGGCCGGAAGGGAGGTGCGGCCGCTTCCGCCCGGCGCGAAGATGGCGGCGGGCGCGGCGGAGCTTCAGCGGCTGCAGTGGCGGCTGGAGGAGCTGGAGCGGCGCGTCGGACTCGGCGGTGGGGGCTGCGGGCCGAGAAAGGTGCCGAGGAGGAGCTGCGGACACCGGCGGGGGCGGCCCGGCCCGGCGCGGCCCGGCGGAGCCTTGGGGTGCCGCGGCCCGGCGGGGCTTGACAGGCCCGTTCGTTCTTTCTGTGCCTCTGCAGGTGGCGGACGAGCTGGTGAAGGTGCAGGTGGCGCTGAGCAACATCGCCGGCAAGAGGGAGAGGATCAAGATCCTGTTCAAGAAACGTGAGCGGGGTCCCGGGGAGGGAGAGCCGGGAGGAGTAGGCGGGGGAGGGGGAGCTCGAAAACCCCCGTGTGACGTTTCGCTGCTCCAAACAAAAAAATGCTTCTGCCTCCTCCCCCCCCCCCCCGCGTTTGATCCCCGTTGATGTTTGGGCCCTTATTTTGCGTATTTGGCAGAGAAATAAGTTACTGCGGGAGGTCTCTCTGCCGGTGGTTCTCCGGCTCAGCTGTCGGGGTTGGGAAAAGGGCCGCCGCGACCTGTCATTTGCTCGATGTCCGTCGGCCTGTGTCAGTGCCGGGATTTGCTCCGCCTGGAATGCAGCCCCTGAGGGCTCTCGGAGCTCCAGAAATTAATTCCTGCGTGCTTGGTTTTGTCGGTTTTGTCGCTGGAGCAGCATTCCCCCGTGTGTGTGGTGGGAGCGATCAGGATCACACGCAGACACTGGTGGACAGACCTGGGGAGCTGCCTCCAGACTGAGAGGGTGCCTTGTCCTGCAGAGCTACCTCTTGACCAGGTTTTGGTGTCTGGTGTCACAGAAGGAGCAGGAGAGTCTTTGTGGTCCAAGGCTGTCCAGTGTAAAAGTGTAAAGCGTGTATTTGTTGATGATTTTAA